TAATTTCTTTTATTACGTGCTAGTCATTACGTGTCAGTATCTGTTTTAATGCATTTGATTAGCATCCAAATAGTAGGTAATATACAATTTACTAGTAAGAGAGTAGAAAAAAATTATTAATATGTCAGTGTAAATATAGTGGTAATTTAATTTTTATTTTTATAAACGAAAATAATCGTAGAAAAAGTATAGTACACAACTTGAGTTGTAAGCTTATTACAACTCTCGTTATGTAATATACTATTATGCGATACTTTATGGACGCACCGTATATTATAGTATGTAAAATTATGTTGCTATAACAACGATGTCACAAGTCAAAAAGTTGATTTTTCTTCTATTTGTCTCTGATAATCAAGAGTATGTCATGTCAATTTGGTCATAGTCATAAAGTCTTTACTTTTAACTACTTTTTTCATATTCAACTGATATCGTAAAAGTTACCCCTCGTTCGGGGCAACCATTATGGCAATTTACTGCACATTTGTGCAATCTTACCAAATAAATATTGTGTTACATGGAGGTGTGTATTGCAAAATAATGGCTGCACTAATTATCTTAAACGGAAAATTAATCTAGTATTGAATTCAATATTATTCATACATTTTGGTTTTTTTGATTGGCATCACTTTGGGTTGCTTAATTTATTTTTATATCAAATTGCTCACATACCGATTTGGTTCTGTCGATGAGTCTTAGATCCAAGTCGGAATCCGCAATCAACAACTTACCATCGGCATATCTGATGCTGGTTACGCTGTTACGTTTAATATTTTCGCCATTCATCTTGACTTTTTAGAAGTCTTTGAAGCATATGAATATATATTTCTTCTGCTCGTGGCATTTTTGGGCCAAAACTAGTAAACTGAACAGGGCTCTCTCCTTCTCATTTCGTTTCTGAATCCAAACTGATAATCGATGCTTGTTTCGCACTTTTTATAGGTTAGGGTATGTATGGGAAAGAAATGAAATGCAGAATTTACAAAACGGTTATCAGACCAATGTGTGGAAGAAACTCCACCTGATACAGAGAGGACAAAAAGAATATTAGAATCAACAGAAATAAAAACTCTTAGAAAATTTATGGTAAAGCACTATGAGACAGAGCTAGAAGTACAGATATATGACGTAGATGCAAGGTGGAGATCAAGGACTGGGTAAGAACTAGAAGAGTAGAATGGAAAATGGAACAATCATAAGTCGAATGCAAACAAATAGACAAGTAAAGACCTGAGAACGATGGAACGACAACTTATTGGAGGCAGAAGAACAGAAAATAGACATAATCATGCCTACAAAAAACGAAGAAGAAGGTTATGCACGACTTTTAATATGACTTTTACTGGTTTCAATACCACTGTTATGTATGGTGTGCCATTTTGTTGCCATACCATAACTTTTCTTTCGCGTAAAGGAATATTCTCCAGTAACAAAGGTCATTTTTCAGAAAATTCAGATATCTCTATTTTTCTATTTTATTTAAATATTCTTCAAAAATATTAACCTATTAAACGCCCATTATATAACCGACACCAAACATTAATTCCCCATCTAGTTTGAAAGCGAGTTTTCCTTAACCAGTGCGGATTTTCCACTGGTTTACATTTACAATCTCATTATTATGGAAACGAGCTTCATCACTCCACAAAATTACAGTTAAAAAGTCATGAGTATCTTGCATCATCACTTGTATTATTGCTATGTAGGTTAGCCTTCTATCCAAATCGGTGGTTTAGTAATAATTGTGGTTTTTTAAAATCCTTTGAACTATAATTGAAGGCACTCCAGTTTCTGCAGCAATGAACCTTATGAATACCTGTGGAATAATCGTTACATATGCTAAAACATTCACCAAGTTTTATTCGGCCTGTATTGGTTTAACATTGGTTTAACATTAACCATAGCCAAAGTTACATACCATGCCGGAAATACAGATGCCAATCACTATAATGGAGTTGCAATCGTAGTAGCAAAACACTTAGCTCAATCAGTTTTAACTTATATTCCCATATCTGACAGAGTAATGCTAGTAAAATTTAGTTCAAAGCCGTTCATTACCAACGTAATTCAGGTCTATGCCCCAACATCATCTAGTGATGAAGATAAACTAGAAGCATTCTACAAAGATCTTACTGATGCTCTAGATCTTGTCAAAGCAGCAGAAAATACCATAGTCCTCGGAGATTTTAACGCTAAAGTCGGCAAAGGACGCTGTTTGAACATTGTGGGGGAATATGGCTTGGGAAACAGAAACGAACGTGGAGATCGACTTGTCCAGTTCTGTCAAGAACACGATTTCATTATATCGAATACCCATTTTAAACTACCACCGAGAAGACTCTACACCTGGAAGTCAAATGCAGAATCAGAGGACAAAATTATTAGGAATCAAATCGACTTCATTCTAATAAAAAATCGATTTAGAAACTGCATCAAATCAGTTAAAACTTATCCAGGTGCTGACATTGGGTCCGATCACAATCCCATAGTAGCTGTAACCCAATTAAAATTAAAAAAGGTGATCAAAAAGAAGTCTCGCAAAAAGATTGATACAGCCCAACTACAAGACGAGAAAGTTAAGGAATCAGTTCAAAGACAACTGAACGAAAATTTAATTTGGGAAAATATTGGTGAAAACGTCGATGAGGGCTTAAATAAAATCGTAACGACAGTAAAAGAAATCTGTGTGAGAAATTTACAAGGCAGGTCAAAGCCAAAAAAGCAGGCTTGGATGACAGATGATATACTGGATTTGATGGAACAACGGCGACTAGCAAAAACCAACGAAACACTTTACAATAGCATACAAAAAGAAATTCGACGTAAAATACGAGAAGCAAAGAGTCAACATCTAGCCAAACAGTGTCATGACATTGAAGAACTCGAAAAAAGATACGACACGTTTAACATGTATAAAAAAGTAAAAGAAGCGGCTGGTATCTTCAATAAGAAACAAAATGCATTGCTACAGGATGAAAATGGTAAAGTAATATTCGAAGTAGAGGACAAACTTAAAGAATGGGAAAATTACGTCACGAACCTATTCGAAGACGATAGGAGTAGTTCACCTCCCGATATTACTAACTGCGACGGACCCCTAATAACACGCTGTGAGGTTATAAAGGCCATACAATCATCAAAAGATGGCAGAGCGACTGGTCCTGATGAAATTCCAACTGAAATATATAAGCTTATAAAGGATAGCAATGTTTTAGAGGCTATAACTTCGTTTTTCAATACCATTTATACCAGCGGACAACTACCTAATGGTTGGTCTAACTCACTGTTTATAGCTCTACCTAAGAAGACAACAGCAAAAACCTGTGCTGATTATAGAACCATCAGTTTGTTAAACCACTTATTGAAAATTTTTCTGAAGGTAATACATGGTCGTATCTACAATAAATGTGAGGAATACCTGGATGACACTCAGTTTGGTTTCCGTAACGGATTTGGAACGAGAGAGGCACTGTTTGGAATGAACGTACTTGCTCAAAGATGTCGTGATATATCTGTAGACATATACTGTTGTTTTATTGACTTTCAAAAGGCATTTGATCGTGTTAAGCACTCTATATTGATCGAAGCTCTAAAAGACATTGGCTTGGACGGCAGAGATGTTCGTATAATTGCAAATTTATATTGGAATCAAACAACATCAGTTTTAGTAGATGGTGTGGAATCACAAGCTCTCAATATTAAAAGAGGAGTACGGCAGGGATGCCTCTTGTCACCCCTGCTTTTTAACGTTTACTCCGAAAGAATTTTCAGAAAAGCACTTTCTGAAAAACAAGAAGGAATACTTGTGAACGGCGAAGTCATCAATAATTTGCGATATGCGGACGATACAGTACTCCTAGCTTCTAGTCAAGAAGATCTGCAAACACTACTTGATAGTGTCGTTGAGAGTTGTAGGGAGGCAGGTCTGGATCTTAACATAAGGAAAACCAAAATACTCGTAATAAGTAAACAACAGAATATAAAACCGTCTATATATGTAAATAATACCAAACTTGAGCAAGTTGATAAAATCGTCTACCTTGGACAGCAATTAAATTGTAATGCAGAAAATCACGGCGAAATTAGATCCAGAATAGAGCAGGCTAGAGCTGCTTTTAGAAGGATGTCCAAGGTGTTATGTAACAGAGACCTAAAATTGGCATTAAGGATCCGCCTACTTCGCTGCTACGTGTTCTCGGTCTTACTTTATGCTGTCGAGTCCTGGACTGTGAATAAAATCGATCTAAATCGCCTTGAGGCTTTCGAAATGTGGTGCTATAGAAGAATTTTAAAAGTTTCCTGGGTGGAGAAGATTCGTAACTCCACATTACTAGAACGTCTCAGCAAGACTACTGAGATCATAAAAAGCATCAAGCAGAGAAAGCTGGAATATTTCGGACATGTAATGAGAGGTCCCAAATATAGACTGCTACAAAATATCATGCAAGGAAAAATAGCAGGCAAACGCAGTCCAGGACGAAGAAGAACCTCATGGTTGAAGAACTTGCGTGATTGGTATGGTGTAGATACAAGCATGCTATTTAGGGTGGCAGTGAATAAAATTAAAATAGCTATGATGGTAACCAACGTTCTGAAAGGACATGGTACATGAAGAAGAAGAAAGTTACATAAGACGGTTTCTTTCTTTCATGGCATTAACTGTTACTATTTGTAGTTAAAAAAACGATTTAAATAAAATCTTAAGGACAATTTGCTTTTCTTGTGAATTTATAAAAACTATAGAAAATATGTGGATTTATTAACATTAATACCCTCATTGTGATACACCGTTGAATTTAGGATAGCACGTCAGTTATTTGACATAACCTTCCCACCATGATCCATTTAATTTTTTCATTTTAATGACGTCACAGCACCCGTGATTAAGTTATCATGTCAAATTCACATTTTCTAATTTTCAAATAAAAATATTCATTATTTCACCCTGTATACTAATAAAATATGTATTACTTCTGATTTTAAGATATTGACATTTTTAGATCCAGAAAAATGACTTCAATGAGTTTGACTTCATTTTTGGTATGGATGAAGACAATATGTCAGATCTAGAAACACGAGCTCCAAAGGGAAGTAAGGCCAAACTTTTGCTTCTTGGAGAGTTCGACCCACAAGGCGAAAGAATTATTAGGGATCCATATTATGTTAGTATTTATGATCAATGTTCTTTAGACTTTCTAAATCATTTTTTTTTTTCAGGATGATGGTTCTGAAGGATTTGAGAAATGTTATCAGCAGTGCCTAAGAGCTTGTGGAGCATTCTTGGAGCAAAACTCCTAAATTTACAAATTGAGTGTTGTGAAATAAATACCAGTTGAAATAGGACGTTTATACATTTTTATAAAATAGTCTTTTTACTGCCTTCGAGAGTTGTTTGGGTATCAATTAGGGTTAGAATTATTTTTTATAGAATTATGTATATAGTATGATAATGGAAAGGAAAATCAAATTAAAAACCTTGAATAGTCACATAACATGCAAAATATGTAGGGGATATCTCATAGATGCCACAACAGTTACCGAATGTCTGCATACTTTTTGCAAGACTTGTCTAGTAAAACACTTAGAGGAAAATAATACTTGTCCAACATGTTCTATAGTGATACATCAGTCCCATGCCCTCCAATACATAAGCTTTGATAGGACTATGCAGGATATTGTATATAAATTAGTACCAGATTTGCAAAAAGATGAAACTAATCGAGAGAAGGAGTTCTACAGGCAAAGAGGTTTACCTTATCCCAAAGATATACCCCTAACAAACGGTGACGTTAACGGTGATGATAATCATGCTGATGCTAGCCACGCTGAAAATGATTACCACAGGCAAGATGAACAAGTGAATTTATGTTTGGAATGTATTAGTTCAAATTTGAAATCGCTGAAAAGGAGATTCATTCGATGTTCTGCTCAAGCGACGATTTCACATTTAAAAAAGTTTGTAGCTAAAAAGGTTCTAGACGGAATAGATAAGTATAGGGATATTGACATACTGTGTAACGATGAACTATTAGGCAAAGATCACACTTTGAAGTTTGTCTATGTGACGAGGTGGCGGTTTCAGAATCCTCCCCTGATATTACAATATAGGCCAAGGATTGATATATGATTCTTACGGCTATTGTATATTCTCGAGACTGATCAGTTTAACAAAAGTGATTAATGTCAATGTGTGTGTTTAATATATAGATATACAGATCGTCAAACAGAGAAACAAGTTTTAATCAAGCACTCATATATTGTAAAAATAGACGCAGGACCAATTTGAAGATGTCTGTATAAGTTTATGCAAGTTGCTTCTCATATTTAGTTACTAGTAAATTATTAATATATGTTGATGTGACCACCAGTGATGGTATTGCATCACTGCTATCAGTAATAATATTTTCACTCTTTTTTTGATGACTTCAAAAAGTATTATTCATACTTCTTCTTACTGCGCCGTCTCCCTTCGAAGGTTGGCGATCCAATTGGCAGTTGGTCCAAACTGCAAAGACCACGTCGCAGTTCCTTGAGCCAACAATTTTCTTTTCTATTAACCTTTTCCCCTGAATGTTTCCTTCAGTGATCAGTCAAACTATTTCATATCTGTCTCGCTTTATTACATGCCCGATGTATGTTAGATAACGCTCTTTGAACGTTGGTATCGATGATATTTTGTTCTTTTGGTCCAAGATATACGTAGTATTCTCCTATAAAGGTACATTTCAAAAGCTTTCGATGAGTTTTTCTAGTAATAGGTTACGATTTCAGATCTCACAGCCATAAAGAAGAATTGGCAATGCATAACAGCGCAACATTCGAATTCGAAGTTCATGTTTAGATCCCGCCTGATGAAATTTTTCATTCCGATAAACGTCTTCCTAGCCTATTCAATTCTTTCATCGAATCCCTACCGATGACACCTGTTTAGCGATTCTGTCATTTATTCGGGGAACAGTTTGTGTTTATAAGTTGGAAAAAACCATAGGTTTTCCTTTGGCGAAACGACGTTCATATATAGGCCGTAACACTAACTACATTCTATAATGTTGTCTATAAGTTTCCGTAGTTCCCACAGGCTGCTGGCAAGGACAACTATATCCTTGACCTATATTATATTAATAATTTTATTGATTATGATTTCTGCACTATTACCTTTAAGAGCCTCTGCGAGCATATATTAAAGAGAAGTGAGGTTAATATACATCCCTGTCGTATACCTTTTCTTATGGCTATCTCCTATGACGTGTTGCTCTCCATCTTTACTTGGACTGTTTTTCTTCGTAAGTCAAAAAGTCACCCTCATCTATACCCGTAGCTCTGAGTATTTCTGCTAGTTTCTGGTAATGAAGACAATCAAAATCTTTGCGATAGTCTATAAAGCATTTCCACATTCATTTCATGTCTTATTCAATCCATAATGTTAAATGCGCATTGTATTTAAAATATAATCATTATATCATTCCACATAACAAACTTATAAGATCTAAGTAGTAGTTTAAACATCTAAATGAATCTGCTACTTAGACTAGAATAAACTATGTCTGATCGACCTGACTTGCATCTCGTTGATACTCTTCCATAGATTCCTATCAGATAAGCGTGGAACACTCAATAAAAAATGTATATACTATATACATTTTTCTAATTTCCGACTCATTTGATTAAAAAAATTTTCGTAGCAATTTTGTTTAAATTTGAAAATAAAGAAAGTCACAGTATGAGGTGCTTGATAAAATAAAGCAATTTTTCTCACTATCTCTACGGGCATTTCTAATTTCAGAGATTCAGACTTGTTCCTATGTTTGACAAGCTGTACATGTTATGAATTATTTGACAATTAGCTATATAGAATGTGTGTAAATATTTTTTATTGAAAAATCGAATATCATATTGACATGTCTGTATAATATTATATATATAATTGTAGTGGCATAGTATTTAATGTCAGATTTCACAAAGATCTACTAGATAATAATGTAACTGTTAAGTGGTTTACAAATAGTTAAACATTGAAGAAGAGAGTTATTGAAAAGTATTTTATATTGCAAGTTTGATCATATTATTCGAATTAATAATCGGGAATATCAAACAAATTATTATTCCCTTTGGTTTTTCGAATTCCCTTACAATTTCTTTATTTTTGTGTAATATTAATATTCTGTAAAATCATGTCCTCTGTAATTTTTTGTCTCCAAATATTTTCAGCAACAGTACATATAGTAGCCATAGACACATTTTTCCATCTTCATACTCAGTGGTATGCTCACATTTTTACCTTATCACCCTATCTGAGTTGTCAAGTTTATCTTTAATGTAATGTCCAATTAATCTAAAAAAAATAATGCCAACTACAGGATGCTATATACTACTACTATACTAATGTTATAAACAGAATATCTTCTTCATCAAGTGCCCTTTCTATCACTAGAGGTTATCGGTTCTATTGACAAACATTTCTCTGTCTTCAGCTGTAAGCATAAGTTCTTCAAAGCCTAGTCTGGTCGAGTTTCTGATATTATGTAGACAGGACAATTTTTTATTCCTATACCACGTTATCCCTCTATTTTACCCTTAATGATCAATTGAGGAATGTAGTACTTTTCCTTACGTAGCAAATGACTCAAATAGCTGGTTTGTCTTATTTCAAACGTTCTCAGTAGTGTTTTTCTATATTTAGCCTCTTTAGAACTTTATAACAATACATCCACGGATTTCATATGACTCCAATTTATTCAGATTTTTATCTTTAGAGTTCAAGTTGTGGTTCCATAGAGAAAAACAGACCAATCAAAACATTTGACAAGTTTCAATCATAGTTTGATATCGATATGTGTATCGCAGATATAGTTTGAAGAAACTATCTCTAGCTTGTGCAATTATCGCTTTAATTGTCTGTCTTGTTAAGGTGCAAGTTTGTAGTTACTCCAGCAGCCAAGGTATTTGTAATAGTGTATCTGTTTTAATATCTTCCTATTTATCATTATAGGTAATGGGATGTTCTGCCCCTTTTGGATTACCTTTATCTTGGTGGTTTTTTCTCTTTATTCTAAACTGTCGACAAGCATCATTAACTTGGTCTAAGACTTTCTCTAAGTTCGTATCCGTTTCAGTAAGACAGTATGATCTGCATATCCTATAGTAGAAATTTCTTCTCCATTAATTTTTATTCCTGCAAAGAGGTTTTCAAAGACTTTCTTGCATAGCAGTTCCGAGTAAAGACTAAACAGCATAGGGGACAATGCACAACCTTGCATTACTTCTTTACTTGTATTAATATTTTGGCAGCTTGCCTTCAATATTAGTTTCTTATTAAGTTAACTTAAATTTTATTATGATCTACGATCAAATGCCTTTTATCGACAAAGTCTAGGATAACAACCTTTTTTTGGTTGTAATACTTCTGCAGCAGTATTTGTAAAGAACACAAAGCCTCTCTTGTCCCCATTCCGGTTCTGAATCCGTCGTATGTCACTTGGATCGACCTAGAATTTTAGAATTGGTGGGATTTCAGTAGCATTATTTATCGTAATGTCCATTCTTTCATCCGGTAACAGCTGTTCTATACATTTTTCCTATTCTTGTATTTTATCTTTGGTTTGATCGTTATATTTATTGATATATGAAAATTCTTACTTCTTGTACATATTAAAAGAATCATGCCTTTTCTAATTCTTCTACTAAGTTTACTTTCTTCTTTTCTTTTACTTTCAATCGTATTTCTTTATTCAAAAATTTGTATTCGATTGTGCTCCTACTTTTATATTTTCTTCCATCCATCATATGTAAAATATGTAATCTCATCTAATCTTTTTGTGCCCTTGATCGTGTTTTGGAATTTCTTCTCTTATATCATTGACTAGAATGTATTTGAGTTGTTCATATTTTATATTATAGTAAACAGAGTGTTGGTTTTACAAAATATTCTTGACTACAAAATTAATCTCAAGATGTTTGTAGTGAATGGCATGTATAATCAATTTTATTGATGATTAATCTGGTTCACTGTGAAACAGTGTCTCAGAAAGTAAATAATTTTAAATTTTGAGTTTCCAATAGACACTTTCTAAAAGAAAGAAAGAAAAATTATGTAAATAGCAATCAAATGTAAATGTGTTAGGTGTGCAATTACAGATCTTTGTGAAATCGGTCATGTACACATTTTTTACCTTATTCCTAAAGTCTGTAAAGTATGTAAGGTCTTACTGTACAATGGAAAAACATGTTATCTTCAATACACTCATGTAAACTCTTTTCAATACGCTTTGTTCAAGTTATCGATAAACCTATTTGGTATTCTCCATCTAGAAGTACATTCACAACGAAAGGTATTATGAGTAATATTTTTCTGTTTGATTCCAGTTCTTAATCCATTCTCGTCAAAGTAATAGTAATGATGTTACTAGCTCAGCGATGCGAACCTATAACACGCGTGTCAGTGCTGACATTTTTGGTGACACTCATCTTCAAAGATCAAACATTTTATAACTCAAATTTTTTTTAAAATATAGAGATATTTTGAAACTAATCAGACTAACTAACTAATATGTAAAACAAGTCTCTAAATGTAAATCATTGATTTCAAAATTTTGATATTTCTATTTTATATGGTATTAAACAAATAATTAACTTAACAAATTCTAAATATTTTTATTTTTTTATTCTTTACTTTTGTGATATGCGAAGCGCCACAAAAATTATGTTTCGATTTTTAACACCCCAAGCTCAAAAGGTTCACCATCAATGCAATAGCTTATACACAATTTACTCACACTGTAAAAACTGTCTATAATTCAAGGATTGGTCCCTATTAGTTTTTCATGTTTTGTAATACATTGTTTTCGAGCTTTTTAGTCCGTGAACTATTTCTTATTAGTGAGCGGAACACAAATTTATCTTTTTGAAAACATTTTGGTATCTTTTTCATCAAAGCGAAGCGTATAATTTTTTTCTAGAGGTGGGTCTTTCACGACTGATCCGGATCTTACACGAATGGGTAAAAAACGATTCTTAAATTTATTACAGCCAAGAATGTGATCCAAGGACCGCTTCTGTTATCTGCCTTAGCAGAATAATTGATTTAAATTAACCATTTTTGTATACCATATACTTAAAAAATGTATTTTTATTACTCTTTTTATCTAATTAAGTGTCCGTTATAGATAGTGACGAATTGAGTGGTATGAGTATAGCCTTCCAATATCTGTTTTGCCATTGAGAATTAAGTTTGTATTTTTAAGACCGTCCCACGAGTAAAGATTGTTAAGATATAACTGATCCTAGATCCGGGTATTTTAACTGATCCAGACCCGTTGTCCGGTCCTTCAAAAATACTTGTTTTCCGTGACTATTTCTTTCAACCTATTTTTATTATATTTGAACATAACGGTGGACTCTATTTTTCAGCTTCAGTGAAACATTTTATATGACGCAGCAATGTGTCATAAAATGTCATTTATATAAAAAAA